AAACAACAACAACAACAAAAACAGGTATTTATTTACATTTATATATTTATTTATTTGGTACTGGGAATTGAACTCAGGGGCACTCAATCACTGAGCCACATCCCCAGCCCTATTTTGTATTTAATTTAGAGACATGGTCTCATTGAGTTGCTTAGTGTCTCGTTATTGCTGAGGCTAGCTTTAAACTTGCAATGCTCCTGCCTCAGGCTCCTGAGCCACTGGGGTTACAGGCATGTGCCACCATGCCTGGCCAACAGTTGAATATTTTTAAATAGCTAAAAGAGAGGATGTTGAATGTTCCCAATGCAGAGAAATTATGTATGTCTGAGGGTATGAATATGCCAGTTACTCTGATCTGATATTATACATTATATACATGTATTGAGATGTCACACTACTCCATAAATATGTATAATTACTATGTGTCAACTTAAAGAAACACACACAATTTTGCAGTGCTAAGGATCAAACCCAGGGCTTTGCACAAGCACCCTACCACTGGGCTATAGTCCCAGCCCTAAAAATAATAATAATAATAATAATAATTAGAAAAAAGAGAGACAGAAAACAGATATTGAATGAGAGAAAGAGAGACAAAGCAAGATAAAACTTGGGCATGGTGGCCAAGTAATCCCAGATACTGGGGAAGCTGAAGCAGAAGGATTGGAAATTCCGGGCCAGTTTTGGCAACTAAGTGAGACCCTATCTCAAAATAAAAAATAAAAAGGGCTGCAAGTGTAGCTCCATAGTAGAGCACCCCCGTGTTCAATCCCCAGTAGAGGTCGGGGGGAGCAGGATAAAAGAATAAAACAAAATTAGCAACAAACATAAAAAGCATTTAAAATTACCCAGTTTTTCTAAATAAGGAGGGTGAACAGCTAAGATGTTTATGAATATTTGGTAAGGGTGGAAGAGAAATGATATCTAAATCCTCATTCTTTTGATAGGAAGTCAATAGTGAAATGTCTAAGCTTGAAAAAAATAAAAAAGTAACATGAAGAGCAAAAAAAAAAAAAAGAAAGAAAGAAGATTGCCCCAGTTTGGGGAGCTGAGGCAAGAGGACAACAAGTATGCAAAGCTAGCCTTAGCAAATTAGTGAGGCCCTAACCAACTTAAGGAGAACCTGTCTCAAAAAAAAGGGCTAGGAATGTGACTCAGTGGTTAAGCATCCCTGGGTTCAATCCCTGGTACCTAATAATAATAATAATAAATAATAATAAAATACATTTTAAAAATTATCCAGTTTCCCTTTTTCTTGGTACATGGGATTGAACCCAGGTGTGCTTATCTACTGAGCTATATCCTTAGCC